ATAGAAAGACATATGTGACCTTAGGGAGTTAAGGGCGTGCTTGGATAGAAATATATCCGTTCAAAATGAGATTTTTTGTTTTAACCATGATGAATTTTGAAAAGGTTGGTATTGTTAGTTGTTAGTGAGATATTGAATTTATATTAAAATAATATTTAAAACAAAATAATTAAAGTTGATTTGATGTAAAGTAGGAGAGATGATGTGAAGTGATGATTAGTTGAAGTTATGTGAGTGGATGAATAGTGAATTAAAATTGATGTAATGTATACGAATGATTATTTGGTATTATTTAATTATATTGATAATACTGATGATTAGACTTTGAGCATTGATTATAAAAATTTATAAACGAACAGCCCATAAGGTTTTAACACCAAAACCCAGCCAGCTGAAAGAAAAAAGAAAAAAAGAAAATATCATGTCAGAAAATAATGCCTCACCTTGCCACCGGGAAAAGATTTTATTTTCCAAACCAACGAGTCTTTTTCGGGAGCATAAGCGGCCGAGCCCATTGATGTACGTACATTTGGATTGGTGGCATCTTGTGGGACGGGCAACCCAATTTCGACATTAGTTGCAGTGCTGAATTTTGGAACAATTTTGACGGTGAAAATTGCAGATTTGTGTATAATTATTTAACTACGAGTGGAAAATAAATGAAGACATCGTGCAAAAAATATGATCAGAAGAAAATTACCTACGCTCCTTAAACTGGCTCCTGGCTTTTACCGTAATTTCTATGCGGCTCCTAGAGTGCCTTTCTACCTGGGCTTCAACCCATATTAGAGGCTTTACCTGAGAAGAAACATAGCCAAACGCTGCTTTAAGAGATAATCACAAATCAATAAATGCTATTCTCTTTCTAAATGGGCCCATCATTCCAAGATGGAAAAATTAGAATTAATTTTTTATGCCCTTGTTTCGACAAGATTTTTCAGGGATTAAACTAAAAACATTTGATAGTGGAAAAAAAAAAAATCAAATCTTTGCACAGTGGGTCATTTTTTTATTTTTTTTCTCCATACTTCAACTGTAATTTAGAAAATTTGAATAAGAACTACAATCAAAGTATTATATCCAGTTGCATAAACAAACCTGAGTGCTGAGCCTGTAGGTCATGAGGTCAAAAGATCCATCAGGTGGAATGAAGGATATCGTCCTGTCATTCTCAAATCGAGCCAAGCGCACACACCTGAATCAATAACAAGTAGTTGAATTAAGTAAGGTCTGTGGATGGTAGGCAATAAACATAATCGCATAGTTTCCATGTGCCCTTATACACACACAGGCACTTCTATTGTATGAGTGATTTTATCAGAAATATATAAAACTTCAAGTTCTTCTTCCTATTTTCTAACTTACAAAAGATATAACGAGAAGACAGTCAATGTTTCCACACTAAAATAGCTGATTCAGTTATTTAAAACTGAAGGCAATTATATAACAACAAATTGGTGGATGTCGAAAACAAACAATAATAAAATCCTACTAGTACAGATATAAAATTGTATTAGTGGTAAGCAGGCTCGTGCCCACGGAACAAGGATTGATGTGAGTATCCGTGAAAGGGAAAAAAAAAATTGATGTAACTAAATAAATAAAAATGAAAGCCAATGGGAAAAGAGACGAGCAACATATAGAGTGGATCAAATAAGAAAATTATCCAACCAAAGGAAAAGTTTATAAAAATGTTTCAATTATTCAATCACTAAGGCTATGATAAATTCTCCAACTCCGAATTAAACAGATTATGATGATTGAACGATCTAACAACCCATCCTTCCTTATTCGATAATCGGGATACGATCCCTAACTATTTCCATAATCAACAAAAAACCTAGATACGGTCATAGGATTTAATCTATTCACAACATTAAAATCATGAAGGACTATCAATTCTAGCAAACATATGCACATGTAGGCTCATTTAGACTAATATCTTATATCTATGATTTAATCTATCAACAACATTAATTTAAATCGTGAAGGACCAATTCTAGCAAACATAATCACATGTAGGCTTATTGAACTGTATCATATCTCCCTCGCATACAATAAAAAACCCTTGTAGTCATTATGCTATTTGCCACAAATACTAGAACAATCAAACAACAGGGTTTTACGTCCTCAATGGCGATATGCGTATCAGCATCGAACAGATTACCAACTTGCATCAATCAATCAAAACGCAACTTTGATAATAAATAAAAGAGATAAACAAAAAAAAAAGATGTAGAGAATAGAAATTCAATTAGATCTCATGAAGAGGAACCAAGTCTAAATCAATCTTTTGGCTGGAAAATAGTTTAGCTTTCAATGATAGTCTTCTCCAAATTATTCATTAAAAAAGATAAATAAAAAAAAAAACAAAAAGAAAAGAAAGGAAGATTAATTACATACTGATGAAACTTGATGTCATCCAGATCAATGGCTTTTCCTTTAGTTGCCCTCCCTTGTGCCTCAAGCAAAACTCTATCGTTGAGCCCAAGCTTACACTCAGGCATACCACTGCAATGAATGTAGCATATATTTAGACTACCAAAGTTTCATAAATACATCAAACCTCATCTCATTTTACATGGTTGATCATGGAAGTCTGAAGGTAGACTAAACGGAAGCATAAACAGGTAGACTTCTAAAAATCCATGAATCTCTTTTAATGCATGGAAATCTTCCAAGTTACAGAACATAATGCAGAGCGTGGTAAAAGAGGAGGGAACGAACCTCAAATATGTCCGCATCTTTAGTGCCCCAACAACGTCCGACCTAATTATCTGGCCATTACTATTGACCAAGATATTGACACTTTCCACAACGTCTAGAAAAACCTATACAACCAAAAAAGGCACATAAATATATAGTAGAAACATATGTATTACTTGCCACATTAAAAGAAACTTACTTCATTCTTTTTGTAACGTATCCCTTCACTGCGCCATGACACCGCGTTTGTAACTGCCATTGGAGGCCTCTGTGCCACTTCCATTCTGTAAGCATCAGTCTTGATGAACTCGCTAAGGATCTTGGCTTCAGTATATTGTGGGTAGCCAAAGTCCATAATCTCGTCAAGTAACTCGTACTAAGGATACCACGCATCAGCTGCTAAATACTGCCATAAAAAAAAAGGAATAGAAAGCATAGAGAAAAGGAGGCAATGTATCTAACGTACCACTACAACAAAATTATCCCTAAGCGATTCTTCTTCCAACTCTTCAAAGTAATGTTTAAAGACCTGTCATGAAAATTCGGACAAAGGAAACTCTTAGAGAAACTCATACAGGTAGTGCACTGAACTATGTAGACCAAATAAAATGAAAAGCTTACATCAACTACTCGGTGTAGGAAAAGAAGAAGGCTAGCAGCATTGCAATTCTGCCGGGATGCTGTCATGAGATAAACATTGTTGTGTTGTATGAACATGTATGTGATTCCATTGTCATATACAACAGGATCCTGAGTCTCTGGATCACCCTACACCATCATTTATGAAAACAATTTAGCCGTGTGGTCCATTAGGAACAAGCAACCTACTGATATGATGGATTAGTACGAAAACACTAATAAATCCAGCAAAACTAAACTAGTCCAGCAGACAGTAGTTCATAAAAATGATGCCTTTAAAAGTGGGCTTATACACCAATACAATGAAAACTGCACCAGACATAAAATTCACTCAGTTTTGATAATCACACCTCCGTATAAATAAACAAAGTAGCTAATTCACCAGGTCACATCAAATCAGAAAGCCAAATATCAGATCAAGCTTGAAAATCGCACAAATAGATACACCTTATTCATCTCACTGCAGCTTCACGATTCAAATCAAATCTTAAAATCGAGCAGACCATTTCGGCATTTCCTACTAAAAAAGCATTTTGCACAGGAAATCCGAAACAAAAAATTCACCTCCTTCTCGATGAGCTTGGTGAAGAAGCGCTCGGCCTGCACGGCGGAGACGTCGCCGCGGTAGTCACGCCACACCAGAACCCTACCCTTTATGTCCAGTAGGAACAGCGCCGACGCTGCTCCCGCCATTTCCCCTTTCCGAGCTGATTTGTTCCCGATTTGTTCGCTCACTGATTCAATTGCAGACGGCGACCGCGGATCACGAACTGATCGGAAAAGATGGCTACGGGATCCGGCGGCGATTCGTTAGTTGTTTGGGGATTTGAAGGATACTAAGATCGGCGTCATTTTTCCGTCATACAGTTCGATGGAGATTGTGAGAGAAGTTACTGTGTGTGGTGTTTTCTGCACATAACGGACATCGTTGAAATTTCCGGGTCGTCGGGTCAGATTTAGATTTTAGCTCGGAGCCATTACGGTAAGGCCCATTTTCATTCTGGGCATGTTGTTAAGGCCGATGTGTATGCCCAACTATTT